CTGGTGGGTAAAGCCAACTTCCTAAGAAAGCCAAAAGAGTAGGAGTATGTACAGGAAAGTGGGGCGCAGGTCATGGGGACAGGGGAACACGTCCTCAACTCCCACATATATTTGGGAGGTTTGGTCCTCCTCCCCCAACTTTACGACCGTAATGCAATTTCATAAGTCAAGAAGATGCCTGAAAATTGTTGAAAGGAGCTGTATACATGACAGGTTTTAAGGAAAAGTGTGGTGTTAAATTATAATTATTAACTTACGATTCTTGTACATTTCAAAATTTTGTAAATATGATGTCATGAAATAAGTGTTATTAAAAGTTTATGATAAAAAGTCATTAGTTTGTTCTTCATTTCGACTTTAAGGCAAAAAAAATATTGGGTTGGCCACGCCTGCCGACCCAAATTTTACGATATTAAGGGTTGGCGTTTTATATTTATTTTATTAATTTTTTTTTACAACGAACAATGACTTTTTTATGAGCAAATAAGACAGGAATAGCCTTAGTGAGGCCAGGGGGCCAATGCTAGCCTATTTCGATAGATGGTACGCGATCCGAATCCAAAATTGTTGTATTATTTGTGTGTTTTCTACTTTTTAGGCGTAAACACATAATTATTTTGTTCTAAATTTTTTTTCCAGAACGTGGCCAACACATTTTTTTGGCCCTAATGGTGATGTGATGATGAATTTTACTATAATTATATGTCTTTTCCAGCCATCTCAAGGCATAATTTTCTTCAAATGCTGTCTCTGCTTCATCCCTGTACAACACGCCTAATTCCGTCTATCAAATCAATGAATTAAATCAACAAACAACAATGAATTCAATACTGGAATTAAAAGTTTAATGTCTGATTAACCGACATTGTCTACACACACTCTAAAAAACTTGAAACTGTCGTATAGCATAATTTTATTCAAGAAGAGGCTGCTGAACCCGTTGTATTTAGCAACTACCATTGTTTAGGCCTACAGGTTGAGAAAAACCAGGGAGGTAAAAAAAAACTGTATAGCAACATAAAATTCTTGGTTCAATTGTTGGTTACAGGAAGAGCTGCTGAACGTGAGTTAATAGGTTTTACATTTATGTTATATGATTAATAATAGGATCGATATTGAAGCATAATAGGCCTATTGAGCTACGTACGATAAATATATCATACTATGACTACCAACATCTCTGCTGGCGTGTGTAATAATCTTAGCAGCTAGAATAAGTTTGATATGGTTGTTGAC